TTAAACTATGACGCAATGATTTTATAATATGACTAGCGACTCACCGTCTCTTCACTCGGGTTCGTGCCTAGGTATGTTTCGACGCTTAGTATGGAATAAATATACTATATATTAGTATATATACGAGTATATATACATAGGTATGATGAGTTTTATATCTCTTACTTGAGAAATTATTCACGCTCATAGGCAGGGGGATGCATAAATGTATGCCTTACAATGCTTTGTTTGTATTTGTTGAATTTGGATTTTTAATAATCAATTAAATTTGGACGTTATTTTTGCTTAAAATCTGAATTTTAATTACTTCTTCGTTTGGAAGTGGACAAAATCTACCAGCAAATATCGCAAAATGTCTGAACTTAAAAACAACGCAGAATAAACGAATGCTCGCACCATTTAAAATTCCCCGAACTCGGTCGCTTCCGTACCTTTGTTCTCTTCAAAGCTTTTCATCTTGAATTAATTGCAAGTTTCGATTGCGAAGGAAACTAAGATTCAATATTATTTATCATGCAAACTGTGTATCTCTCACGTTCCTCACAGGTATAATCGAAACACAATAATATGTTCGATTATTCGTTAAAATGAAGTGGATTCACAGTATAGATATTAAAAAAATAATTAGATTACGTTATTTTTCTAAAAATAATTTTTGCATATATGAAGGAGAAAAATCCAGCAGTTGTTTATTTATTACTAGCGATTCACCCTTGCTTCGCTCGTTCGTATATATATATATATATGGTATGTTTGGGCTAGTTTCCGCAACTCAACGACTATGCGCCTATTTTGCGTGTGTAATATATATACGAGTATATATACATACATATGATGAGTTTTTATATCCCTTACTTGAAAAATGATTGATTTCTCATAGATAATATATTAGAGTATTTGCTATTTGATACAGACAAAGCTTAATATAAGTTCACAGTAGTTCTCCTTTTAAAAATTAAATTTAGGGTGCCAGTTAATTATTATAGGCCTGGCTTAATATATCTTCTTCTAGTTTGTTAACAGCAACTCTAATTATACCCAACTGACCAAAGTGTGAAATTGGTCTATTAAGCAGTTATTATTTATTTATTAGTGCCAAGAACTTCACTTTTACTGTTAAATATTGTCAAGAAATAGTTCAGCCTATTCATTAAAAAAAATACCAAAATTGGTGTAGAGAAGAATTGAATACCGCGAAATCATAAGGTTTTTTTATTGTATTCAACCTTAAAAAGCATTGCAAATAAATAATCTATCCACACATACCTTTTGTTCATAGAAAAGCAGTAAATATTAAATTTTATATTTTAGGTGAAATATTGAAAAATCGTTTTGCTACAAATAAGCCTGTCCCTCCCAGATCGTCATTTACGTGCAGAAAATTGAATATTTCTGACTATCAGCTTTTTAAAAAGCCTTTTAAAAAATAAAGAAAACCATTCAAAAGTGTTTATATTAAATAGTAAAATGGATTTTAAATTATTATGGTTTTCACGGCAAAATATCTCTTTAATCCAACGAAATTACATATCGTTTTTACACGAAAAAAATACTTATTAAGCAAAAGCAAAAGTAACATATTGGATCATCATCAACGGATTACTGAGTTTCAAAGGAAAATGAGATATTTTGTTGCCTTGTTGTTATTGGTTTTATCGACTTCTTTTTACGGGTCTTTTTTGGGGATCTTTTGACAGCCACTATTTGAGTAACACGAACATGGGTCGCATATTGCTTGTAGAAAATTTGGTGTCGAACTTCAAACCATTCTTATTTCTCAACTCTACAAATGATCTATGTAAAGCGAGAATCAGTGTAAGTAGTCTACTCAGCAATGAAAATCTGTTAAGAAATTCTTTTTTACTACGGAAATTTTTACCTGAGGATAAAACAACTTATGACCTTACTGATTAATTTATAAAACAGCCTTACTGATTTAATCTACACCAGTGAGAGTGATATAATATTGTATATGTAGTCGCATTAAAATGGGTTCAGCTGTTTTTAAGTTCTAACTCAGGCACAAAAAAAATTAAGTACGTAAGTATCATGCATATAAACATATAGTCTTCATAGAAGATAGCTAAATTCAAATCACAGATATACATACATATATTTCAGTTATTCATTTATATATGGATTGAAGTACGAACATTACACATATTACATATATGTATGTAGTAATTCAATCACACTTTCGTAGTAAATATTTCCGACCCAGTTAAGATTTACTAACGCACCGATTCTAACAGCGGGTCACCAAGCCTCGGGGATTCGCAATTTGGAAGCGTTGCCGGTCCATTTCAGATTTTTACACACCCCACCCTTTAATTACTATAGAAAACCAAATGTTTCTATTACGACTTAAAAAATATTTTCGTAAATCATTGCGCGTTTTATTTGCTAAGATTTAACAGATTGTTGAAATAGTATTCAATGTATTGAAAATAGTGAGGTTTTGTTTTGTGGAAGCAAGAAATATAGTAGTTTCAACGAATAAATGATCGCAGCGGCCGACGGACGCAAAACGAATGTCTCGTAAACCTCACGCATTCAATTACTCTTCGCGCGTTTTTCCGATGGACAGTAGGTTACAGTAAGCAATTTAGGGTATTCGAAAAACTGAGTAAACAACGTGGGCTTTTTGCTGTTTCGGGGTTGGGATTTTCTCTATAGGTGCTACGCCAATGTTATGGATAGATTTTAAATGAAATGTATTTTATGTGTTGGACAGTGTAAATAGATGTTATTTTAGAGTAAACTTATTTCAATATTGAACATAAATATAGAAGGAATTCCATTAGGTAGCCATCTTCCATCTATTTGTTCGTCTGTCAGTTTGTTTGTTGTTACTTTTACTTTACTTTTTTTAAACAAACATCTATTTAATATAGGTATAACTGACAGCCCACTTTGGCACACTTTGCCCACAGGGCATGCATGGGGGCAGACGAAACGGCTGCACATGTAATCTTGTATTGTTTCGTACCTCTGATATTTTCATGTGCGAATCATTTCTAACATGATTACCACTTGTCTTAACGGTGAAGGAAAACATCGTGAGGAAACCTGCATGTCTGAGAGAAGCAAGTTAGCAAGTTTTCCAAAGACATGTGAAGTCCGCCAACCTGCACTTGGCCAGCGTGGTGGACTATGGCCTGATCCCCTTCGTACTGAAGAAAGGCCCGTGCCCTGCAGTGGGATATTAAAAAGGGCTGAATACATATGTTATTACACTCTATAAATACATGTTATTTTCATCCGCAGATTCTAATAATGTACATTATTGTACATTATTCATTATAAATTACGAATGCTTGTGGGTGTTTATTTTTTACTGTATCAACACAATAAAAAATAAACACCCACACTCTCAGTCCAATACCGATTGGCTTTACATATGTATTATGTGTGTTTCTGCCTATTACTTTGAAGGTCGCAGATTCGCAGATGAAAGACACTCATTACTACACTTATATTTTTCTACGAAGTGAAAAGAAGCGTTGATGCGTACTTCTATGGTGTAAGTACTATGTAAATTCACTATCTACTCATTTCTTACTGTATTTTCAATTAAGATATTTTTATGGTACATAACATATACATACATTATAATACTTTCTTAGATTTACGCGAATATTTGACATTTTAAATAAAACTAACTTTTCGGATTTTTTCGCGGATTTATTTTGATTTTATGGTTCCCGATATTTCGAATAATAACAGCTACATTTCAATAAATATAATTCAATATTCAATTATAAAACTTATTGAAATTAAAAAAATAATTAAAAATTTAAATGAACAAATGTTGTAAGGTACCATTTTGGTGCCATTTTTGTATTTTTTGAATTCGTTTTGTTATTTTGTGGGTAGGCTGCCTTTAACAACTATATATTGCCTTAGACACGTTTATAACCTTAGTCTTCCTTAGTATTAGTCGCGAAAAAATCTGAAAAGATAGTTTCATATTAGTACATACATGTTTTTTAAATTTGAGTGTGTATTTGTACGTTCGTGCTTGCGTATATTGTGTTTATTATTTCACGGGGTCATATAGGTAGGTACATTTAGTAATATTCAGAGGAGGTAGCTTCAACCTTGGGTTTTCTTCGTAGGCCTCTTTTTAATTAAATCCAGATAGACTTTTTTTTAAATATATGAATTGGGTATACATTATATGTATAATAAACTGCAATTTTTCAAACTAATTTTATACATAATAAATGAACATACAAATTTTTCAATAATACCACATATTGTTTATTCACAATTAATGTGACACAAATACAAATATTTAATTAATATAACATAACCACAACGTTCACCAATTCCACATACATTTGTCATCAGATAAACGGTCGCAACCGCGGGAATAAATAGCTAATTAAATTTTTAAATGGTAAAATCTACGTTTAAAGGATTATAATTTAAATATGACATTTAACATAACATGACAATAATAATTAAAATAAATAAATATGTTGAGAGAATAACACACATCACCATCTAGTTCCATGGTAAGTTACGAGGCTTGTGTTATGGATACCAGATTTTAGTGGGTAGTACCGGCTCTTCTAGCCGGTGAGCCCCACATCACCACCTGGGGGATCAGGTGGTATGCGTAAATGCATTTCCCGACATAAAAAAAAAATGGATACCAGATAGCTGATACACTATGCATACATAACTTTAAATTACAACTTTACATATTATAAAAATAAACACCCATGACTGGACATTCGTGTATATTAAAAAATTAATTGTGAAAATAAACTCAACGATAACACTAGTTGAAGTTTCATTTCACAATTTACTGTATGCTCATCACACAATATAAATACCGATGCTCGCTTCGCTAGGTAGTAGCACCTAGTTATATCGATCTATCTTTACTAAAATTTATCCCAATTGTATAAGTGTGAAGGAGTGGCAAACATACAGACATACAAACTTTCGTATTTAAAATAGTTCGATTATATTATATTTATTGTATTCAGCTGTCTCACTGCTGGGCCTCCTTTCAATATGAGGGGTCTCTATCAGATCAAGGTATCAATACACTTGGTTTCCAGATGAGCGCGTTAACGCTTGGCTGCCACAACCATTAATTTTTAGTCAGATTTTTTATTCAGTAAAAGTAGTGTAGAATTGACTGACAGACAACAATATGAAAATTCATCCCCTATAGAGAATTTCATTAGTTGGTTTAAAATTTGTATATTTAATTGCTGATATAAAATCCCATTGGTCTCGCCGTACTAATAGAAACTTCTATTCATGAATAAAATAGGCAAAATTTAACAAATTTTAAACAAGCATCAATTCGAGTATATATTTTTCATGTGTATATTACGCAACAACTTAGGTAATTTTGAACAGGCTTTCGTGGTACTTATTACATAAATAAAGAAGAATAAGTGTAAAACATATCTTATAGTTTTCTTTAGAATATGAAAAAGTTATGTTATAATTATTAAGAAAAAAAGTAGGCAGTTTGCAAAACATAGTAATTAACATGTCTTATTGAATTACATTTGTACTATTATGCCATTAAATAGACGTTAAAATGTTTGAATGTTGCGATAGAAATAGTATTTTTATTTTATAATATGTTACTATTTATTTGTTACAGATATTTAAGCTTATTCTCAATATCGAGTTCGGAAAATTGAGTTGACCATTGCTAGGTACAGTCTCTCCTTTATAATAATTATAAATAATAAAATGTATGAGTTAGAAATTGTGCTTTTTAACTCTTTAATGGAGTAAAATTCAAAATCGAGATAGTTTTGAGCTTGAGCTAATGGATTACATTATATTGAGCTATCTATAACGCGAGTGAGTGAAAATATCAACATAGATTTTTCTTTAGTAAAACCTACAAAAACTACGAGATAGCACCAACTTTAGTATGAAAGTTTTAATATAGGCATTATAAAAGATAAACAGCTCGAATAAAAAAGTCACGTGTAAAAGTGGACGGGGTTGAACATTTCCAGTTTTTCCTCTGTCCTAAAAACTCGACCGGCGACGTTTTATTGTTTCCACGGCAAGAGTTAAGAGATTAGCGCGAAAGCCTATAACTGTGGCTATAAAAAACCGCTTCGGAGCACATATATTTTTTCACTTGGCTTTTTTGGTATGCTTTTCCATTTGAAAAGATACGTTTATTCATTTATTCGGGTACCGCGGAACACAGCGGAACATCAGACCGGCAGGTTTATGTGTTCCGTCCGCGCGCTTTTGTCCAAATGTTTGCGTCGCGAATTACGACTGTGTACGTAGGTCTAGTTTTGTATGCTTTTTAGTTTTGCGAAGAATTTTACATTTGCCATTTGCCCTTTTTTTTTTGTTTTGACTTCGTTACCTCCACTATCTGACTTATATTCTGTTATTTATAACTCACGTGCTAAGTGTGCTATGTTAGAGATTATTTTGTATAAAATTTATAAGTTGAAGTAGGTACTTTGAATGCTTTTGTTAAGATTTATGTAAACTATAAAATGTAACTTAGTATAAATAAGGTATAAGCCATATTAATGTCAAAAATGTGGGGGAAATTCTGTCTGTGTATTTATAGATTTTTACGTTTAAGCTGCTAAACAAATTTCTATGAAATTTGGCACGGACGAGTATGACGAAGGAAGGATTGCATCATGGAGATGTGCATATGTATATATTTCCTTTTATCTACTCGTCGATAAATTCACACAAAGATGGCCACAGGCTTTTAGGAATGTAGATGACCCTTAGGAAATTAGTATTTTGATTAAGTTACTAAAGACAACTGTCCCATCAATACGTTATTTATGTACATAGTATATACAATACTAGTCGCTGACCGACGCTCTGCACGCGTAATTTTTGAAAAAAAAATTTTTTTTCACATTATCTACTTTTTTTTCTAAAATAACTATTTTTAAGTTTTGAACGGTTAAAAATGGTATATTCTGAGTTTAAAATAAATTTATAATATATATATATGTACGTATTTCCCATGTAAAATTCTAAAGCTATCAATAAAAGACTTTCAGCAGGTACATTTAGGTATATTATTATCTAATTTATATTAAAATATTAGTTCAAAAGATACGTAAATTTCATTCCATATAGTTAGTTCTCAAACATCTTATAAGTACATGCCCAAACCATTGTTAAAAGTTTCCATCTTCGTTTCTCATTTCCAGCAGAATTCGTCCGAGCAAAGGAAGATCTGAAAGCGAATCATAACAACTGTATGCCTGTCTGCAATGCAGGTGAAGTTGAGCAACTATCAGTACCAGTAAACTTTTGGCAATTAGTATGGTAATAATCGAGCATACACGCTACGATTTATAAAGGGAATTTTTAACAAAGAAAGTACTTTAGTGATAATGAATTTCCATGGATTTTTTATATTAAATAAATAAATATTTTCTTATATCAACTATCTGGTATCCATAACACAAAAAAAAAAAGGCCTCGTAGCTTACCGTGGAACTAGATGATGCTGTGTGGTAATGTCCCAACATATTTATTTATATTTATTTTAAAGTTTCTAAAGTAATAAAAATGTACTACGCATATTTTTAAAATAAAGTGAATTTAATTTACATTTAAAAGAAATATGTCCAAACCGATAGAAAGGGTTTCCTTGATTTTATAAAACAGTATGAAAATTTTATATCGTTGCAGCAATTTTAAATTATTTCAAATACAGTCTCGCTTTACTCGAACTCAGTGAAATTTATTCAAACACAAATACTCCATTTCTTTTGGAAATATTCGATCTCGATTGAGCGTAACCAGACAGAATGTCAATTTAGAATATAGGTTTCTATTTGGTATTCAACGGGGATGCAGTTTTAGCTTCTGTGATATATGGAATCAGGAGCGACATGATGTCTATAAGATTATAGCCTAAACTATTAGATCGATTATACGTTTCTTGGTTTGTAAAACTATCATATTTTTTTTAAAAAAACGCAAATTATGTAATAATACAGATTTTTGTCTTGTTTTATCTATTTATGAAGCATTTGATAACTTTCGATAAAGCTAAAATCTGTTATACAAATGTAATGAAATGGAGTTTTTTTTTGAAAACCGAGTTCTAGTATTTAATAAAACGTACGTTTACGGTACGTTTTTAAGGTTAGCATGGAATAGGTAGACTATAATATTATATATACATAGGTACAAAATAAACAGTTCCAAACTTTTCGATACTCTATCTGTTTTTTTTGGGGTTTTCCTATAATTTTTTACACTTAAAAAAACAAAAAAAAATTCTTTTTTTCAACAAAACAAAAAAAGAATTATTTAAATCGGTCCAGCCGTTTTTGAGTTTTAGCGAGACTAACGAACAATATTTGATTTTTATATATATATATATATATATATATATATATATATATATATATATATATATATATATATAGAAGATATTATGTATATACTTAGTAGGCCCATGGAAGTTTTATTTACTTTTTGAGAAATCTGAGCGTTACAAGCTTATTTCTAGTAATATAGTAATTTGAATAACTTACTAAAAATTAATATAGCAGCACGGAGAACTGTAAAATTATCAATAATTATCGCATGTAAAAAAGCTCTTCAATAAAATACACAAAAGTTCAAATGAAATCCAAAATGAAATTGTCGATTATTAACAATGTAAGCTGCCAAGTTTACATAGTAAATATATAGGTTTAAAAAAATATTATAAACATAAAAACTTAATGTAGAAAAAACAATTTTGTTAAACAAATATTTGGATCATTGATGCCATATTAGACATCTGGGATCTCTTTCAAATAAGTGATAATAACTAGTTATTTTATATTATATTTATGATATTCGTATCGTCTACAGAATGTCGAAATTATATTTATAATCTATACAGATAAATAAAATTGTAGTGTCTATTTGTAATGTCAAAATAACAGCGTTTTACTAAATGCATATGGAATGATATACGGTACTTATAAGAACAACATAATTTTTAAAAATTTTGTCTGTCTGCATTTTTCGGATACTCTCTGAAACGGCTTGACAGATTTTGATGGGACTTTACTAGAAGATAGCTGATGTTATAAGGAGTAACATAGGCTACTTTTATTATAGATAAAGAATTAGGGTTCCGCTCAAAAAAATTAAAACGTACCTAGGGACGCAACCGAGTGAAGTGAGGGTGAGTCGCTATTACTAGCGACTCACCCTCACTTCACTCGGTTACTAATAATAGCTTACTGTTTAATTATTAGTACAGTTTCTTATACTAGATACATATTTTCACTCCTTGTGTATATCGATAAAACTTAAAAAAAGTCGACAATGCTTTATTAAGATATGAATATCTAATAGGTAAATATGACAAGGTATTCACTCTAATTATTATAGTTAAAATATATATTTTTAATATATATATTACGTATCTAAATATAGGTATTAGATTTGGTTTGCATCAGCTGGCATCGACTTTGAAAATATCTGATTAGGTATTTCTAAATGAAAACCTCCGTTTAGTTATTTTTTACATTTTAGTGCTTGGAACTCGTTTTTTTTAGTTTTTGTATATCTATTTTTAGTGTAGACGTAATAAAGTTTTTTTATAACATATTATTATTCGATTAAGTCATTTTTTTTTAAATAATTTATTGTTGATTTTTTTAAAAATCACTTGACCGATTTCGATAAAACTTGGGAACCTGGGAAGTTATACACTTTGAAACAAAAAAAAATTCAAATCGGTTCAGAAGTGTTTTAGTTATCGGTGAACATACATAAGAAAAATGGTTCCGATAAAATTGAAAAGTTCCTCCTTTTTTGAAGTCGATTAAAAATAGTTCATATCATTCAGTGATTATTTATTAATAAATAAACATACGAAAATAAATATAAATGCTTAACAAAGTTTAATATTTATTTACTTACCACGTTTCTTAATTCCAACTTGAAACGCTCTTACATAATTCAGCCAGGGCACCGCAAAGGAAATTGTATCCGCAAACTCTCCGCTCCTTATCGCACAAAAAGTAAATAAAACTAAGTACAGAAACACTTAGACCACTATCTTAGACCGTAACATATTAATCACAAAAGTTAAGCAGGACGTAAAAAGATA